ATTTGAGTAGATCTAAAATTGAATACATGGAATGTAATTTTAGCAGTAGCTATAGTGGCATAATTTTAACTATGGGTGATCAAATCATTAAAATGTGTGAATATTTTAGATACATGGGTTCTAACGTTCAATGTGATGGTGATATAGATGGGATGTTATTAGTAGAATTCAAGTTAGTTAGTTGAAGTGGAGAAATGCATCAGGCCTTTTGTCTGATAGGAAAGTACCACTTAGACTAAAGGAAAATTTTATAAGATGGTGGTGAGACCTGCAATGCTCTATGGTGCAGAATGTTGGCCTTTAAAAGAGAAGCATAAAACAAAATTAAGTGTTGCTGAGATGAGAATACTTGGGTTGATGAGTGGCTTGACACTTAAGAGACAATGCAAAATGAATATATCCGTGATAAGGTTGGTGTAGCTCCTATAGCGGACAAGATTAGTGAGAGTCATCTTAGATGATTTGGTAATATCAAACGTTGACCATTTGATGATCCTGTTAGGATAGTGATTTGACTTATGTTAATAAAGGCAAAATTAGACCGAAACAAACTTGGGCTTATTGTATAAAAAATTATCTTAATATATTAGAGAATGAAAATATGATACTCAATAGGATGCAATGAAGAAAAATAATTCATGTAGGTGACCCCACTTAGTGGGATAAAGGCTTGTTGTTGTTGTTGTTGCTGTTGTTTTTATTTGATATGATACAAAAATATCTTTTTAGATGACTCATTTCAACTCTCACGTAAGGTTTTGAGGAACTACAGTCAAGAGTCATTTCATTTAATGTGGCATCTAAAAAGCTGGTAGAAATAAAACATTATTTGCATTGGCAAATAATTCCCTCGGATAGGCCTCAAAAGTTCACAAAGCGCATTGAAATCATTTCGAGCTATTTTTCAATAATAGAATTTTTCCTTGATTGCCTTATATCTAGCATCTTAGGTTTTCATTTACACAATTTCGCCTTCATATGACTTTTAATGTTTTAATTTTCAAATCTTCCAGTTGATGAATGCTTGCAAATATATAATAGCATATGAATTTATAAGTATATTGTCTATTTCTGACTGCGATAACAAGATGTTTGCATTCATTAGAAGCATAGCAATTAATTTTTTCTAGGTTCTACTTAGAAAATTTTTGCATGTGACTGCCACATTCATAATTTTGAGGTATTGTCATATTTTACACGAACCACAATTAGTTTATTTTTATTTGAACAAATCATTGTATCCTTCACATTGTTAATAATAAAAAAATCCATTTGATGTGCATTAAAGCACCACTTTTCTCAAGAAAATTATCTCTCTAACGATGTAAAGTGGAATGAATCTTCTTGATATGATATATTGTTATTGGACACGCCATTAAAATTGCATCATTCTCACTCATTTGTTGTTTGACGGATACAAATATAATCATTTCTAGAAACTATATGATCATTTAGATTAGCATTAATAATAGGGTGTCATTGTATTAATTTATGTCCTAAAAACAACATTGTTGGAAACTTGTGGGCTATCTATGTTTTGATCACCATTAGTATCATTGGAAGCATCGTTATTTGTACTATTCACTATCTCATATGCTTCATCAACAAAGTGAGATGGCCTCTGATATTGGTGCTCGCTCAGTCCTACCTACGATCTAGGTTATGTATGAGTGGGTTGGTGGATCAATAACCGAGGTTCAGGCTGATAAGAACCCATTTCTATGTGAAACCATTGTGTGGAGCCACTTGCCTTTTATGAATCCAATGAAAATTGTGGAGGACTTCAAAATTTATGAAACAAAATAAATTTCAAATTTTTAACTAAAATTTGACATGTCAAATTATTGCCTACTTCATAAATTCCCTCATCACTTATAAGCATTACAACATTTCCACCAATTATAAGCTACCAACCTACCAGACTGCTTCCAAACCTCAAACTATTAGAGTTTAATGATCGAAGAATTTTCCTTTCAAGTTCTTTAAACGCATGGACTTATGGAACTTGTATTCAGTTGTTTCTCCTGCCAATATAGGAAGTGCGAAGTTTGTCTATAATCAATCATCCCTCCCAAAAAAAAAAAGCATCAAACATGTTACTTGTTGACTCAACGAACTAAATTGTTTTTAAATGTATCAAATCAATTTTATGAGCTCATCCAAACCGAAGTACTGTGCTTTCTAGAATATTAATAACTTTTAATTTTTCTGCTCAATTCAATAAGTTGAAAAAGAAAAAAAATTATTTCACAAAATTGCTTTAAGATCTAAACAATAAAAAATAGTAATGTATGATAAATTCATTATGGTTATTTCAATAACAAATACCTTCAATATTTAATTTATTATATCATTATGAAAGTTTCTCTTAAATAAAAATTTTCTTTATCGAATGAAACTAATAACTATTTAATTTTATTAATATATATTTTAATAACTATGTATTTTTATTTAAATGTACGGTTATAATATAATTTTCTGAACAATTACTAAATTATTTTTTAATCACTTTCAAAGTTGCGAGACAATAACATAAGCATAATCTAACTTTAAAAATACTTAAAACTAATTATATTAATTAACTATAATAGTTATGAAAACTATAAAATAATATTAAAAAATTTAATCGTAAAAATATAAATTATTGAGCAGCAATCCTATAAAATCTTATTTACTTTTATGCAGCCTATTAAAGGACATGCAGTCTCCATGAAGCTCTTGAATACTAATATCTAGCTCACACCTGTAAAATTTTTTATCATTACCTCTATGTGCAATCTCATTAATATATTGTGCACTTTCGTCCGCCCATGCTTAACATAACAAGTAATTTCATTTGCTAATTCATTTGGATTTTGATTAGTTGTACATAATAGAAATAGCATAGATTTTTGGATTCTAACCATTATTTCTCATTATATTCTATCTTTCATTGTCAATTATCTATTATTGTGCACTTCTGTGCTTATTTAATAATATTTTAGAAATTATGTCTTTTGTTGAAGTCTTTATATCTTATAATTTGTTTGTTTGTCTTTTGTTCAACATTGAAGGCTTTTCATAAGTACCAATCTGAAAAAGACCTTTTGCTAGTAGTTCTTTTGACAAAATGAATGTAGATTACTCTATTTCTTGAAATACTACTCTTGAAGGGGCTAGACACGTTTAGGGCTGTCAAAAAAGCTCGTTGTTCGCGAACAACTTGTGTTCGGCTCGTTAAGTAGCTCGTGTTCGACTCGTTTGTTAAGTAAACGAGCCGAACACGAACAAATTTTTAAAGCTCGAATT